GAAGTTGAAGTTCAATTATTATTCTACTGCTACTGGACCACAGGGTTTAATGAGATGAACATATGATCTTATCAGATGACCAAGCAGACTTTCAGAGCATACATAATTATGCAAAATGCGACAATGGCTTATACATATGGGAGGGGTAATTGGGTGGGCATTAAACCCTGTGGTCCAGTAGCAGTAGAATAATAATTGAACTTCAACTTCCAGGTAAGTCTCGTTTAATTTATTAATTCTACTGCACTGGACCACCTAGGGTTAATGAGATTTTAGAGACCATGCTCGCATTTTGATAAGTCGTTAAAACTTCATAACCAAGTACAATGATTACGCATTCAATCTACGACTATTAACTTTTCAAAACTGAAAATGTAATGTACAAAATAAAGTATGCAATTGCCATATACATAAAATGCTGTAAAAGTAACAATCATTATAAAAGAATACTATTCCCTATTTCTACTGTGCGGAAATTAAAGGTCATTATAGGCTTGACCCCTGCTGCAATGTTACATTGCAAAATTGATACATTGTATCGTATATTGTAAACAGAAAATTGCAAACAAGTTTGACACACATTTACGTGTAGCACAAAATTCTTCCACATGTAGTGATATTCGAAGTTTTCTATGGTTTTAAAGCAACACATTTATGTTTTTAATTATAATTTCTTTAGGCTCGATTTCTGATATCTTGCAAAATCAGTGTTTTAAAATTACTGATCTGCGGTTAAAGGGCCATTAAGCATAAACCTGCCATTATTCGTTTATATTATTTACATTTTTTTTTCCATGCATGTTTTCTTCAATAAACGCATGTATATTATTTTCCAAATCAGCTCTGTATTGCAGTTACAGTACATGTTTCTATGGTTCACGTTTTCGATTCCACTCGATACAGGATAGGATATAATGAAACATACAAATGAATTTGTTCATTTTTCCTGAATTATTAATATTATTATCATTTTTGTTTGGAATCAATCAATCAATTAATTAGTTAATTAAGTCATCAACTGATTTATTTCAAAAACGATAATGAAAACTACCAAAACAAATGGCTGAATCTCTTATCACCACTTACTTATTCAGTTGTTTGAAAATAAAACCCCAAACAAGTAATATTCTATGACCATGCCATTTGGTAGAATAATCTGCTTAGTGTTTTCCTTTCCCCCGGGCAATGACGAGTAAGGTACCACATCTACATATAATGATATATTATTAATTTACCTGCCATTTCTTTTTCAAATTTTATAACATTTCTAGTTGACTAATTAACATGCAGTCTACAAATATAAATGCGTTCATCAACCGTAGAAATGTTTCATAGACTAAACTGCAGTTTTCATGATATAATTAATATTTTTATTGAAACTAGTTGTTTCAATTATTTAAATCAAAATTTTAATGACACTTTGACAGCCGTAGCACAATCAGGATTTTGTTTGCCTATTGTTGTGATAGGTCCGACACAAATCCCTCTCTGAGTGATTTATAGCGCCATGGATCATAACACAGTGAAGGTTAATTAGCAACCCCTCCTTGCAAACAAACAAATCAAATTAAGACATATGTTTGACCTACAAACCAGGTACAGCTATTAATACCTGCTGTTTTCCCAGGAATAAGTCCGATGATAAACCCTAACAAAAACAATTCACTGAGAGGGTCCAGTGAGAGATTTATCTAAAGATGTAGTACATGTATACAATAAATCCCAAATTATCAACCTTATCTTAACCATCTAAAATACTGCACTTTACAACTTTGTATAAACTATCATTATTGTAATGAATGGTAAAACATTGGTTTCATAGGTTTGTCCAACAATGAAAGACAAGGCAAATGCAAATGATTTTTTTTTTCATCTTAATAGTTTATTTTATTATATTCATTAATTCATTTTAGTTTTACTGTAGTTAGCTTGAGCAAAAATTTCAATGCATACAAAGTATATCAAACATGTATTCAATTATGCATTTAGCTATGTCTATATACACCTTTCAGTCGAAGAAAATTCTGGATAGAAAAATATTTTAGTGATTAAATGTTTATTTTCTTCACTAAAACTTTTCATATCTTATTTCATGTTCTTCCATTTCGAATGACATGTCATTTTCTTAAAAATAAAAGCAAGTTCTTTACAATCGACATTGTCAGTGTACTTTACTTGAGATATACAGGTAAAGAGTTATTCAATATAAATTTCATTATTGAACCATCTCGAGCAAGTACCAATATTGAAAGTTATCAACTTACAATGTTCAGGGTATTTCGAAGTGTTTCTAGAGTATTGTAAAAACAATGCATACTCACATTCTGTTAACTTTCTTGTATATGTACTCATGGTTGCCCCTGATATTCTTACCTCACACTATATACAACCAATGTTATTTAATATGTGTTTACTTTCCGTAAGGAAAGTAACAATTCCTTCATAAGATCAGCTCCAAATGGTGCGTTTTCCCAAGAGCAAATTTGGACTCACAGTTTTTGACACTTCTATGCAAAACACTTTCTCCAGCATATTTGATCTTCGTATATAAAAAATTTGGGAGTATTCCGGTTTTGACAAGATATGCAAAATTTGCTTCAACATATTCCATCTTATATAACAAATTTGGAGAAACTCAGGTTTGGATATTTATTGCAAAACTAGCTCCAGCATATTCGCTTTTATATAGATAACTAATTTGTAGTACACGGTTTTGTCATTTTATGCAAAACTAGCTCCAGCATATTCCCTCTTATATAACAAATTTGGAGTACACAGTTCTTGACATTTTTATGCAAAACTAGGTTCAGCATATACCTTCTTATATACCAAATTTGAAGTACACTAGCTGTTCTTGATATTACTATGCAAAACTAGCTCCAGCATATTCCATCTTATATAACAAATTTGGAGTACACAGTTCTTGGCATTTTTATGCAAAACTAGCTCCAGCATATTCCATCTTATATAACAAATTTGGAGTACACTGTTCTTAACATTTCTATGCAAAACTAGCTCCAGCATATTCCATCTTATATAACAAATTTGGAGTACACAGTTCTTAACATTTCTATGCAAAACTAGCTCCAGCATATTCCCTCTTATATAACAAATTTGGAATACCCAGTTCTTGACATTTCTATGCAAAATTAGCTCCAGCATATTCCATTTTATATAAAAAATTTGGAGTACACAGTTCTTGCAATTTCTATGCAAAACTAGCTCCAGCATATTCCATCTTATATAACAAATTTGGAGTACACAGTTCTTGACATTTCTATGCAAAACAAGCTCCAGCATATTCCCTCTTATATAATAAATTTGGAGTACACAGTTCTTGACATTTCCATGCAAAACTAGCTCCCTATTAAAAGCATTATAAGTATCATGAATAACAAAATCTGGGAGTACCGACGTTCGAGCATTGAAATCGCCAAAAATTGTATAATAGCAGTCATCATTTGAACAATTTTCTACATAAGTAACTGAATCAATCAATCTGTCAAAAATGTTATCATCTATTGTGGATTGTCTACTACTATTGTCTGGTATTACATAACACAGACCAATATATATATCTTTATCTATTAAAAGTTTATTGGCCGAAATTTTTATCCATAATATATCATCTTGGGATGTAAAAAATAATGTATCATCAGAAACAAAATTTGATTTCACATAAATAATAATGCCACCAGAATTCCGTTTTGCTGTATTTTTAACAGATGTTCTATGTAAAACAAAATACTCAAAACCGTCGACCTGTAAATTAGAAAATGAATCTGTCCACGTTTCTGTAAAAAGAACAATGTCATTACTTTCAAACACATTTTTCACAAAATCTGAATTCAGTTTATTCGTCCGTTTACTTTGCAAACCATTAATATTCATATACGCACATCTAATAGCGACCTCCTCCGCGGTGTCCTAGATATTGACTTGCTGCCCACGCGTAGGTAAAGTCCGTGCACTCTTGTCCGATGACCTATTTCTATTTTTAGCATTCGGGGAATACCTGTTTCTGCTTTGTGAAGCATTTCGCCTATATGGACTAGATGAGTTATTTCGGCGAAATGAACGGTTTTTAGCACGAGAAACGTGTGTTTCACGATTATTGTTGGGACTGACAATGCGTTTAGGTCTAGTCTGATCACAGTGTGGTTGTTTTACGAGAGTTGTTTCATCGGGATTTTGTGTCACAAATATTTGTTGAGATTCGATGATTGAATTATTTCCATCTTCATGCTCTAAAGTAGAGGCTGCATCACGTATCCGGGTAAGAGTTTCACTTAAAGATGTTTCACACGTGTCTGACACATTTGACATCATCGATGAAGATTGTGTGTTCGTATTTAAAGCCTTTGGCTGACATTCAGTTCGGTTTTGTATTACGGATGAGTCTTGTGGGTAACTACTATCCTGTATATTTTGAACATTAGACATGTTTTAACTGTGATTGTCAATAGTTGTTTTTGTATTTCCCGTGCACGGCTGATTGAACATACCTGTATTTTCACCTTGGCTATACAATAGATTTGAGTGTTGATTTATTTGAGCGCTTGCGTAGCCAGTCATTGAAGGTTCTTTTTGGAGTTCATATGAATTATGATTGGTTGAAATCACATTATTTTGCGCATATAACAGCGCTCACCTTCTTACAAACCCACAAATAAGGGTTTGTAGAAAAGCATCAAGCATAAGAAATATTTCCACTCTGCATCAATAAAGGAATGTACCTGTAAATAGAAAAAGTGCATAGGACTTTAAAATATAACTCTATTTGCCCGAGATGACAAAAAAGAATATATTTTTTAAAGGTCTTAATATGTGATGGAAATTATAAACATAGCATCAACACTTTGAAAAAAGTAAATAAGGTTTTTGAGAAATCATATAAAATAATTTCGTTTACGGCAAATTCTTGTAAACATTGTTAGGCCTTGTAAAATATAAATTGTATATGATAAAAGGATATCATGTTTCTACTAGTTAAACTTTATGTACTAAGTGTACTTGTGGCTAAAGAACGCGCATTTTATGCAACACATTCAACTATCTCATGATATATTTAGTCCAAGGCCGTTGTTCGAGAGTAGATATAGTGTCTGTGAAGACACGTTGATTCAGGAAATATGTCAAAAATCAGTGTGGAATTGCCCGACGGAAAGACATATAAGTACATATATGAATCTGGATTACTTTATGAGTAAGTGGGTGATTTCATTTATATAATATATCATGAGTCAATGATCGCTTAAATAACCTTTTTCTTACACATGAGTTTTTTTAACAAAACGGTAAATTAAAATATTTGTGAGGTTTCCACCACATTAATTAATGATTGATCTGTATGTTTGTTTTGTTTGCTTTAAAGGTTTTAACGCAATATAAGTACATTGTAGATAATGTGTTGTAAATGTCAACACAAATGTTTAATCGGGAAAATCCTGCAAACAAAATTGAACATATGGAATAAATATCATAATAGATAAATCAATATTGTATTTTTATACTGTATATGTCTAGTAACGCCGGAATGTGAAGCTAACGCACGTTTCGTGCAAAATGTAACGCAGAATTGTGCAATAAATGACGGATACATGGCAGGATTTTTAATGCGATAAGTAAACTTACAATAATATTTTTTATTAAAAAAAATTGAGAAAAAAGGAATAGCCGCATACGGCTGCCAAAAAAACACTCAAAACGATGGTCAAGCCACCATTTACACCAGTGAGCAATTTCGAAATAATCTTGATTAGGTATAAAGTATAAAGTCTTCGCAGCCGTATGCTGCTATTCCTTTTTTTAGTTCGGTTAACCAGTATTGACCAGTTTACTAACCATGTTGGAAATCCTGCCAGGTTTCCGCCATTTATTGCACAATTCAGCTTTACTTTTGCACGAATCGTGCGTTTATTTCACATTCCGGCGTTACTGGATATGCTTATACTGTTTTGCAGGCAAATCTAGTTTTATATTGCTTAATTTCAGTGAGTTGATTTTGAATTTAGTGCCTGACAAAGACCTAAAAACGCAAATTGAAAATATACTTAATCTTGATATTCGGGAAAATGATGTTTATCTGGCGACCTTTCCGAAAAGCGGTAATATTTGGTTTTTGCTTTTTTTGTGTGAGTAAATGATTTTTTTATGCTTCACAAAATATAAGGTATATAAGTGTAAAGACGCGTTATACTATAGGCGCGTCAATGAAAAATGACTTATTTCACATTAAACGGTCTTTATTTTGGGTATATGATAAATAGAATATTAGATTCGTGTAAGTTCATTACTGAATTTATTGCACTTGTTGATTCAACTCGTGCAATAAATTCAGTATTGCAATTACACTCATTCAATATCCTCTATTTATTACACTCATGCACCGCGGTTTATGCGATAAACTCTTATACTTCTAGGAACACACTGGGTATGGGAAATTTTGGGTATGTTGAAAAATGGGAGATCGACATACGATACGAAAACAAAACAATCAGCAACATTGGACTTTCAGTCACCAGAACTTATCGGAAATATTACATCACCAAGGATCCTGAACTGCCATTACCCGTGTAAACTCACACCAAAGGGAGTATTCAATAAAGGAGTGAAAATAGTTCATGTTATGCGAAACCCAAAAGATGTTATTGTATCTTGCTATTATCACATGAAGATAATGGCTGGTGAACTCTTTCAATTAAGTTTTCAAGAGTTTCTTCCCTTGATGCTTGGTGACTATGGCACATGTAGGTTTGATTTCTGTTAAGTTTTTGTTTAACATCGCGCCAACACTGTAAAGATCATAATTATGATTTACCAGCTTTATAAGTGGAAGAAGGCCTCATGAACCTCTTTGTGTATTATTTCAGGCACAACGGACACGTGAGTTCAACCACGGACATTGCGTTTATTAATCGAAAAGTTTCCGAGCATAAACAGATCCGAAGTCGTGAGCTTGATTCGAACCCACAGCGATGAGGGCCTAGTTGTTTGAAGGAATCGACCTTAGCCACTCGACCATGATCGCCTTATTATATCTTTTTGTCCCTTTTCAGTAGAAGTTCAAAAAAGAAAAAGAAAAAGAAAAAACGTTTATTGTTGTTTGTTTTTTTTCTTTCAATACGAAAATATATTTTGTTTTACTAATCATTAGAAATTTGACATACAAAAAATTTCATATTGTATTATACCGCTATTAACTCGCACATTTTACATTATATAGGACAATTTATACAAAACTCTAGCATAACTTATAGATAATGTGTCTTTATTCATTTCAGACTTTTTCTACCCATGGTTCAAATACGTAAAAGAATGGGAGAGATTTTCAAAGAAACATCCAGATCAAATACTTAACATATACTATGAAGACTTAAAGGAGGTATATTAAAATAAATTTCTGTAAATTTACTAGGAAATCTGGTTTGATAGATTCATATAAATTGCAATTATAGAACTAAGTTAGTTCTTTAATTAAATATGCTATTTGGTGTTACACAGTGTGAAGAACAAAAACATTTTACAGTCACAAATGAAAAAGATAAAACACATATTCAATAGGTAAGTATTCAGTTTTTTTGTTTTGCCTGTAATCGCCATGACAAAATACCGCATAATAAAGTCTTAACCGAAACCGTGTAGTAACAAGCAAGGATTTCCGTTTCTTGGATTCAGTTCAAACTGTGCTACCATCAAACCATGGAGACCGATTTTCCTTTGATAAATGATTCCTTTATTTATATAAAAAATCAACAGATTGAAAGTAATATGTCTGTAAATTTTCCTTTTATAATGCATCCATGCTACTTAAATACAACTTATACATAATATTTCTAAACTGATTTTAAATAGGATTCCGTCCGTGAAATAAAGAAAATGGACACATTTCTAGGAACGGGACAAAATGATGATGTTATCAAAGAGATAGCTGAAGCATGTAGATTTAAAAACATGAAAAAAGCTGATGCAGAAGTCAAGTTGCCCGAGGAGTTCATGGTTAAAGCAGGAAGACCATGTTTGTATAGATTAGGTATCTATCATTGCTGTTTAGACAAACTACATCAAAATTTGTTTCTTTATTTTTTTCATAATGCTTTTTGGTCGTCATTGGTTGCTTTTTTTTATAATAAAATCATTTTATTAGTTGATATATTAAAATTTGATAATAAACAATCATTTTTTTTTTCTTTTTTTTTGGTTTTCTTTAAATACAATTGTATCCAAGTTACATGTAAGTTAAAGAACCTGTAACACAATTTTTCTATAGTTTTAAATCATAAATATGATGCTCTTATTAAGATTTATCAAAATTGTAGGTTCCAAAAAGCATTATTTATAAAAAATTACCGAATTTAACATTTCATGTAAATAAAGGGAGGTAATAAAAGTTTTATTTTCTGTAAAGTTTAAGTCAAATTATACAATAAGAAAAGAATGCATAAATTTTAATGATTACATATAATATGCACAAATATTTGCAGTACATATTTTACATATTCTTCGATGTTTGAAAATTGTTTTCTTTGCATAATTATGTACATATATATAATTTCACTTAGTATGGTTTAGCACTTTGATTTTAAGTACTATTTCTTCCAGTGGTAATACAGTACTCTTCAAATTATATTGCTGTGTCGCTTATTACTGTGATTTTTTCGTGTTTTTTTTTCTTGACCCTAAACATGCAATATTCATTAATTAAAATATTCCCGTCTGCTGTAGGTGTAAAATCAAGTATACTAAGTGAGAGCTTCCAGAAAAGCTTAATGCACGATGGCTTGGAGATTCACGTTTATCATCGGAAAGAGTTGAAGGCAGCACACTAGCATTTTTGGTTAGTTTTGTTCATTCTGACAGAAAACATTACAAGAATTGGTTAAATCCTCATTCAAACATTTTTTTCAGGTGAAGTAGGTGACTGGAAAAATCACTTCACCCTTGAACAAAATGAGCAAGTGGATAAATGGATTGAGGAGAATTTGGTTGAAACAGAACTTTCGTTTAAATACACACTTTGAATACAAAGAAAGGATATATGAATAAAACAATTAAATATGTAAGAGATGTACATAAAACAATGAGACTTTCACTTTTAAAAACACTGTGTATTTTTCTTACACGCCTTACAAGGACACAGATACAAAAAGAGAAATAAAATATAGCAATTATTGGAAATGTAAAATTTCTCTTTAAGAAATAACTAATCTAAAAGCTATAACCTAATCTAAAAGCTATAATAACAATTCGTTTTTTACAAGCAATGACTTATCTATACATCATATAAAATTTAATGTATATAAATATATAAAGACCAATGTAACAACATTACCAGTGCATGGGGGCAAAAATAATGAATTCTATACTAAGTCTTGATCATTTAGGACTTAATGATATAAGATTGTTTTATGATACCAATTAAAATTGTTTTCATTTAAAGGAGTAATTTATACAAGATTTGTAGAACGATTTTTGGCATGCAGTTAATGATTTTTGGCACTGCAAAAATTGGAAAGCAATTTTTCAAACCAATATGAGAAAAATGGAAATACGACTTAGCTCTCACGATATTAGCTTGACTTTTTTTTTACTTATATATATATGCGTTTATGTAAAAATGTGTGTATATATATAGGATATGGAAAGGATTCATACTTTGACAAAACTAATTTGACAAGACAGACCGATTAAATTTATAAAAAGGAAACGTTAAGATTTGTTCAAACATTTCTTTGTTAGAAAAAGTAAACCCCGCCCGGCGCGGCGATACATGTACTACGACCTTTGAAGGTAACTAGGGTTTGACTTGATTATTAGTCTTTACAAGAGTAACTTGCCTTAGTAGTCAGTCTATTTTTAGAACAAACACGGAATAAAAAGAAAATGTTAACAGTGCATAAATTGGATGAAAATTCTTCTATTTCTTTGAAAATTGTGAAATTACAATTGCATGTACTGAATTTATATCAAAACTTAAATAGAAGAAATTGTAGAGATTTTAGTGATATTATAATAAAAATAGGCAAAGAATCAGTATAATTAATGTACTTGATTTAATTCAAGTGTATGTATATGATAAACGAATAGCTGTAACGTTTTATTTTGTGTGGTCGTATAAAGTCTTTGGAAAATGTGTAGATTTCATACTTACCTGGTACAGGGAACACCGTGATCTGCAAGGCGGTTTCCCCAGAAAGAGGCCCTTCCATTGCACTTCGGTTGGGCTGACGTCTGCGATAGCCCCAAATGTGGGTTACTCGGGTACGCAATTTATTGGTGTGGGGACTGCGTTCGCGCTATCCCTGAATAATTTCATTTGTTATCATCATAGAAACAAGAGCTGTCGGTAGGACAGCAACGCTCGACTATTCTTAGTGCTTGATAGTAAAAAAAAATGCTTGATACAGTTACCTCCTCCTGTTTACAGGTTGGGGTCATGATGGTGAACAAGTGTGCAAAGTTTCAAAGCCATATGTCAATGGGCTTTGAAAATATTTGAACTATTACAAAAACTTAAACGTAAATTCTAAGTCGAAAAAAGGGGCATAATTCTGTGAAAATGCTTGATAGAGTTACCTCCTCCTGTCTACAGGTTGGGGTCATGATGGTCAACAAGTGTGCAAAGTTTCAAAGCCATATGTCAATGGACTTTGAAAATATTTGAACTATTACAAAAACTTTAACATAAATTCTAAGTCGAAAAAGGGGCATAATTCTGTCAAAATGCTTGATACAGTTACCTCCTCCTGTCTACAGGTTTGGGTCATGATGGTGAACAGGTGTGCAAAGTTTCAAAGCCATATGTCAATGGACTTTGAAAATATTTGAGGTATTACAAAAACTTTAACATAAATTCTAAGTTGAAAAAGGGGCATAATTCTGTCAAAATGCTTGATAGAGTTACCTCCTCCTGTCTACAGGTTGGGGTCATGATGGTGAACAAGTGTGCAAAGTTTCAAAGCCATATGTCAATGGATTTTGAAAATATTTGAACTATTACAAAAACTTTAACATAAGTGGTTACGCCGACGCCGACGCTCGGGTGACTGCAATAGCTCTACTTATTCTTATCGAATAGTCGAGCTAAAAACTAACGTGATCTCAAACACCAAAAGCAGCAAGTGTTGTTCCCTGTTGAATCTGTAAAATGCCTTAAACAATATTATAATACAAGAAAAGCATTGATGCAAAGCATCAAAGGGCGTCCAAGCAAGAAATGCAGCAAGTGAAGATGAACTAGTACACATATGATTATAAACTACCAGAAATGTATATCACTTATGAATGAGCGGACGAAAGACATTGTTCATTATGATTGGCATGCTAGAGATTAGAATATTACTTGTTATTTCTTTATGATCGTGGTTATTAATAGCAACGGATATACATGTATGCAATCATTTACATGTATAATCCATATGTGTAACGCATGATCAACACGTACCTGGCACCTTGTAATTGTCCCTTATTATGTTATCGCTATTAGCGAAGACCCCCTCTTAAGGTATCTGTTCACACTTAGTAAAAATATGACACTGGTTATATTACCATGTTGATCATGTTGAGCATAATTGTTTATTATACAATAATTGTAATATCTATTAATTAAAAAAAAAAAATACAAATTTTATGAATATTGTTTTCTTTTCTTTTTTGTGTTTTATGTGCTATTTCAATACTGAGTTTTTACTACTCTTTTTTTATTAAAATTGTAAAATAAATTTTAAGAATTCGATTGTCATATTGACCGACGATTATAAGTAACTGGAAAAAAGTCAGTAAATTATGGTTTATCTTTCAATATATAATATTGTTTATTCTTAAACCATGTACATGTACATTTGTATTTTTCTTTATCATTTTTTTAAATTATCAATCAATTGAATAATTCATTAAATCTAATTTGTAACATTGAACAATTCCTCGCATCTTTACTAAACACGGATAACAAATTAAATAAAATGTTTCAAAGTTGATAATTTATTACATGCTTTTCGGTGGGTTTATAGAAATATATCAGTGATATAAAACTGGTAATTTCACTGTTTCAAAATGATAAATAAAAAAACCCCGAAGAGCGCGATTTTATTGACGGATTTGAAAAATGTTTGCATTGCGAAATTCTCCAGTTCGCTATTCAGTGTAACATATCGCGACATTTCATTCTTAATTAATAATCAAGCACCCTCATAACCGATCGGAAATGATCGGCTTTTATTATGACCGAGAAGTTGCTGTCGCCCTTTCACAAATCTGATTTCATATATGAAGTTTGTTATTATTAAAGTAAAAAAAAATCTGTATATTTTTTTAATTACCATTTTTCATTTTTTTGGCTATTATTGGCTGTAACTTTGTTATTTTTGAATGGATTGTCTTCAAACTTTAACATAATAATCTTCAAGGATAGCCCTTTAAAATAACCAGACAGACCTTGACCTTCACTTAATATTCATATGAAAAAGGCAAAGCCTCAAAGCGAGCTCGATGTACTTTTACGTGAAATAGTATGAAATAATCGCTCATTTTTATTTCAAATGCAGTAACGAGTGCGTGTGACGTCACACGTACTGTGTTAAATATGGCCCCGCCCCTGTCGTGAAATGAATAACGAGTTTTGAAAACGTTGATAAAACTTTGTTTATTTTATTTCACTCTATAATTTTTCAAGCGAAATAAAGATTATTTAAAGTGAAATAAATGTAAAACTTAAAACGTTTGCGACATTAAAATAGCGTACTTGATTTGTTTGTTTTGCACGTGCTGTTTGGCGCTACATTGTGACGTCAGGTAAACAATACTTTAAACGTCTGTACAGCGTTAATGACTGAAAAAAAGATATTGGTGTTCGGATTCATTTTCTTAGTTAGACCATTTTCTTTCATTCTAGATAGTTTTCACAATAGAATTCGACAAAAAATTGTTTTTATTTATCAGATTTCAAACAAAATGGCGCCTTCGATTTTCATTTTTTATACACAGCTTCCGTTATTCTGGTTCCCTGTCCAATTATGGTTCCCATAGACGTGCGCGGGTGACCAGTCTACACATCCGTTTTCAGTCAGAATTCCTCAATTTTTATCGTTATCTTTAAATTCGAAAGGTTGCGATGTGTCCAATTCGGTACTTTGGACGAAAGTTTTCAAAACCATCACTTAGCAGGTACTCGCGTTACCGTAAAGCTGGCTTTGCGAGCAGGCCCTTCGGGCCAGCTCGTCGAGCTCGCTATAAATGACCTTGACTTTGAAGATCAAGTTATTGAAATTTTCATTTTTATGGCTGTAACTTTGCTATTATTGAATGGATTGACTTCATTTCTTAAGTACAAGACCTTCATGTTTATCAAACTCAAATTGACTTTGGCTCTTTTATGACCTTGACCTTGAATGTTAAATTACTGAATTTTCACTGATTTGTGCATTAAGTGACCATATATATTTATTGGTGTGTATGTATACAACAATTGTGCATATATATAAATGCGTATATATATATATAAATGCGTAATAAATACGGTGGCTCTTGTTAAGATAGAAACAGTAGATATTGAATGCTGACAGAATGACTGGAAGTTGTAAAATATGTTGCTAAAACTTAATAATTGAATATGAATATCATGTTGCTTTATGTAATCAAATATACAGAGATCTAAAATAAAAAAATCTTGGCAGAGGCTCATTGCAACGTGCACAAAATTTAGTAAATTAATGTCTTCTAAGAATAGCAAAACAACATTAAATCTGGTAAAATCCGTTACGAACGCTTTATCTGTAAATACAATTTCTCATGATATATAAGTATCTAATGATCGTAAATATTATTATAGTACATAAATGCATTAGTTTGTACTTAAAGTGCATGTATTATTTTTGTCATAATGACATATTGTGAAAGATACAGATAAACCTTGATTTTGAACTTTGATTTTTATCTTATTACTGTCTTGTCTGTGGTACACAAGTTCTTTAACAAATGAATTTCCAAAATGAATTAAATATGTATGCCTATATATCAACATGTGTCCACTTTCGTGAATTCAACAATAAATGCACAAGAAATAGAGAATATACCGTACCTTTAGGCAAACAAGCTTTGCATTGCTATTTATAACCTTAATCTTAATATTTAAGAGAAAATAATCAACTATCTAAATTTGAGTTTTCCATTAAAGGGAAATAAGAATGGTAAGACATGTTATTATTGTACTAATGGATAAATAGGTAGATACATACTTTTATTTCCTCCAATATCGTGTTTCAAAATTCAATAAAAATGTGACTTGCTTTTAAGATTGAATAACATTTGATCAAAGAATAATAAGTAGACGATCTTGTTTGGCACGATATTGTTTTGAAGTCGCATGCCTCATGATGAGTCAAAAATTGTTTCAAAACAATCAACCTTGAGAAAAATGCTATTTAAAGGAAATAAAAAATATTTGCAAATTCAAGAAATAATTTTTCATGTTTTATGCAATTAATGATTCATTTTGGGAGTATTTATTAGAAATAAACAAACTTGTTTGTTAATTAGGAGAAGAACCTTGCTGAGCTGTGTCAAAATTTTCTGATCTCTAGCAGGAAAATTATGAAATCTGCATGGAAATATTTTCAAACAGTGTCCGGTTGATGGTCTCCCTAGTATGTCAGCAAGTTTCGTTTACATAAAAATTATTGTGAAACTGACAAGTATCTGGTATTATCAAATAGTATTAAAACAACTGTTCACCCTTTTATAATATTTTGCATTCATCGTAGGAATATTGATTTATTTATATTAAGTCCGAGCCCGATAATTCGTAGTATTGGGACTGAATATTTACTTCGAAATAAACGATGACTTCGAATAGTCGGAATCCGAACATAGTGATAGACGACAACGACTCAACTTTGACCATATGCCAATCATAGCAAAACTACCGTTTACAACACATTTGCTTCCGGTAAAATATTAAAGTCTGTATTGACCATAATGATCTGACGTATCATAAAAATCTGGAAACAAAAGTGATCCCTCGGAAGCATGAATAACTGCAAAATAACATGAAAATTGCAGACTCGGTTCTATTTAATCTGTACATGAGGGATAATGAAAAAGAGCAACATCCTTCACGCCCCCTAGCATCGGCATGAGCGGTTCTCAATTCTCAACACTTAAAAGTGCTGGACTTCAATGATCCCGAAAGCCAGAAAAAACATAACAACACTGAAGTGAAGTACGGGGCAACTTAGCCCGCGAAGAATAACGACTATGCTGTACAGCTTTTATATAATTCCTTCTGGAGATCTGTTTGCCAACACGATATTTACATCTTAACTTGACACATACACTCATACATACATGTTATGTCGTTATAACCTTCAAATGCAGCATAACGTTTATCTTCAACGTTGATATGAAATAAAGTCCGCATATTTATCAGTTAAACATGTATAAATAAAGTCAAACACGTTTGATATATTCAACCACCTATAAATATTTAAGAATATTATTTTAACTTGATGATATAATTTTGAGTACAAGGGCATTTATTCAATTAAATAGGGTAAGGTTCATATATAATTTTGAGTTTAATGAAAATTTATAATAATAATGCCATAATCTCAAAAGACAATTTTAAAGCTATTTGTTTGCTGTAAGCAAACAACGTACTATATAATTATATATATAGTTATATATCGTATTTCTTGTTATATATTTTATACTATGTTTCAAGTCAACATTTAAAATAATATCAGTTTGATACTTGATAAAGTGTGATTTCGTGAATGTAGCAATTATCTCGTTCAATTATAATTGCATTTTTTATTTTTTCTATTTCATTGCAATATTGAACGTCGGAATTTCCTGTTATAAGTGTCAAAATACCGTGTTAAACCCGGTGCTAGAGGGCGTAAGGGAGGTTGCACTTATTCATAATTCCTAATGCACACACCTGTTCAAACTGAGTCTGTAATTTTTATGTATTTTTTATGTAATTTTGCTGTGATTTATGCTTACAAGGATCACACTTTATTAAGATTTTTTCCTATAAAACCACAGATAAAAGACATTTTAGTGGGCGGAAAACTTACAATGATAAAGATTACCACAGAACTACCTAATGGACGTAAGGAAGAATACATATTCGCGGACGGAATAAATTACAGGTGAGTGTTTTAATGACATACTTGTATAATACATAATAACTAACAGTGCATGTGCAAGCAAACATTAGGGGCGTCCGTGGCCGAGTGGTTAAGGTCGTTGACTTCAAATCACTTACCCCTAACTGCTGTGGGTCCGAATCCTGACATTAACTTTGAATTCTTTAATGTGAGAAAGCTATTCAGAAAGCTTTACGGAACGTCGGTGGTTCTACTCAGGTGTCCGTTCATGCCTGAAATAATGCAATGAGGGGCATCTGAGGTCTTCCTCCACAAGTAAAGCTGGAACGTTGCGATATATTTGTCGATGTGACGTAAAGCCCAAAACAGAGGCAAGCATACATATAAATTTGTTTCAAACATTAGCGCACTGTATCGACAAGCCCGTCACGTGACTATAGAGGATAAACATATTCACGGCTGATGACTGAAGAAAAACACACCTTGACCACATCAGTTACTGATAAGCTCAAGTATCAGATATCATTACAGGTCTTTTTCTAGTACAGATCTTTTTCCAGGTAGGAAAATCATGGTCATGGTGTCATGTATGTAGGAAAAATATACTGATTGTTATCTATATGTCTCTGCTTTTGGTGTCCAGTTATGGTTCCCTAAAAGTAACTTATAGGTTACCAAATTTTATTATTTTCTGTTGTTTGGCAATTGGTATAGTTAAAGTAATTAAGTATTTTGTATGAAGTCAAAATACTACTTTGTTTACATTTTGCTACCTTTTTACTTTTTTTCACATTCACCAAATTGAATGATAAGCATCAACAATGCATTGAAGCCATTATTACTAAACATTATTTCGCTACTTCTCAAAAAGAAAATTAATCACTGAGGCATGATATGCCTTTAATATGAAAATAATTAACACCAGTTTTTTTATTATGAGTTGTAAGTAATCCAATCTTATTTGTCTTTTACTCTTATTAAAAATTGTATGTATCTCTTAAAACTAAAATGAAAATCAGTTTTCCTACATATGATTCTCCAGCTTTTAAACACATGATAGGATCTTATCGCATGACCGCCACAACTTTCCTTTGAAGATCGGCGTTCTATAAATTCCAGTATTGGAAAACTTTGGGGTGCTCTAAATGAGGTATCAGTACGCTTTGGGTGCTCTAAATGAGGTATCAGTACACTTTCTCGCGCATGCCCTGTTTATTATTTTATTTCAAATAATAAAGTGAGCATACCTGAAAAAGAGCAAAGCAAAACCGAAAACATTGAAAGAACTAATTTTTATTTATCAAATTTACAAATCATGTCTATCTTTTTTTTTCTTCTTCAAAACTTAAAAATACAGTTATTATAAACATGTTGTCCTCCCCGAACAAATTTCCGGGTTTCAAAGCGGTTGATTGGTTGTTTTTAGATTCGTCATCACTTGCGTTAGTTGCGTCATGTAGAAGCGTTTCTGTTGATGGTTTATTTTGACCTGTTCCGTTGATTCTGGCGGATTTAATTTATTTGAAATGTCTACCAACATTTCATTAATGGGTTTATTATAACGTCGGACACCGGCCACAGATCGATGGCCTGTTCGTTTCATGGTTTATTGTTCGGATAAAGACTTGTTGCGCAAGTCTTTTTTCCAGAGTGATTAGTGTAAACACCTTTAAGTCCCGCGAGCTGACATATTTCTTTCATAAAACCTTTAAGTTTATTCACGCCTAAAACTTGATTTGACAAACGCACTTCTCCTGGCTTCCGGGAATGAATTGGTCTCTTATATACAAAACGTTCCATCTTCAAATATTGGTCATGGTACTTAATCCACTAAGTTTTGCCGATTGTTGTAGTGATTTATAACTTTAGGTTCAATACGGCGGTGTTTCAGGCCACCGTTATACGTTTTAGAGTTCTTTCCTGTATAAACTATAACATTTTCATTAGAATCTGAACTTATTTCAAACTGATCAGTTTCCAAATTCCTGTCATATCCCCTTAAACCGAAGAGTTTACAGTAATAGAATTAAAAGAAAGAGCGTCTTTATTACCAAATACTCCCTTTTCCCAAATAACTTTTTCTTCGTCTTCTAAAATGGGCTGAGCTTCCCGTCTTTTGCCGACGACGCCTTCTTTCGTTAGAAATTTCATCTGTGCATCAAGTACACTCCTAAACCTTGCATAATCAGGATTTTTCTCGTCCAAAAAAGTCATGCCAGATATTCCACAATCTCGCAGCTTTCTAAGAAGGCCACATACTAAATGGTAGAGGAACTTGCCATTCTGCTTCCTTACCCCGACGACAAATCTGAAACAATGATAATTTTTTTTTAATTTTTAGCTTTAAACAATGCCTATGTTTAACAGGAGATACTGACCGAAGAGCCATTCAGTGAATCACAATCGGAACGTCCTCGGCTATTATCTATAATAACCTCGGAAACAATACGGATTGAAAGTAGTTCTACCACGTGGTTTTTAATGTAAACAGAAACAGTGTGTGTTATGTAAAACGAATGTATATTTTGACATCCAAAGGAAAATAATGTTTCGGTACAATTATGATTGAAAATATGTCTAACAACACTTTTTAATTAAACAATCCCCACTGATGTACAATTTTAATCAAATTCGACTTGATGTCATTTAGTACTTTCGGTTTCTACAACCCTATTAATAAATATATAAATAATGTATTGTTTGCTTTTGTATCTATGAATTCACTTATATTAGGTGGACTTTTACTTGATATAATCGAAATAAACTTTTCAACTACTCCCAACATAAAATTACGATATATCTCTGAAATATAAACTAGAGGATTTTCTAGATTATATTTTGAAATCGAGGTAGAAATTAATATTTAACACTGAGAAAGATTCATGAACTTACCTCGACAAATGGATATTAATGTCCAATTCCTCCAACACTGGTATTCCAGGCTTCGTTTTTCTCCACGCCTCAAATGTATTGTAAGCCCATTGCGTGTTACGGTCCGTGTTCTTTGATCTTTGACCTTGAACCAGCGCATCAAGGCGCTTTCTCCAAAACGTTCTCTTTTTTCAATAATAAAGGGTTTCTCTTCCTGCTTAAAATCCTGGTCAAAGTCAATCAATTAGAAGTTGCCGAAATAGTTCGGTTGTACATCATTTTCAAAAGTATCCATTTGACTACTTGTCAGTAGGCCTATGTCATTAAAAACACCTCTACGCTCAATTTCACTTAATGTCTGTGAAAGTAACAAATCATCCTGTGTAACGTTTTCACTATTAAACGTATAGCTTGCTCATTTCAAACAAGTCCAAAGCCTGCGATAAAAAACAATCATCATTATCTAACTCCATACTTGTCCCACGACGGGCAAACTGAAAATGACAAGAATTTGGCGCTGAATAAGGTAAACTGCTAGGGCTTGGCAAACGAAAGTGATTGGTTCATTTTTCTAGGGGTTCACTATATCTCTGGCAGCGAATGAGCAGAGGTGTATTTCTATGTGTATCTCTACAATTATCATTTGTTTAAATCATGCGATAATACGAGAGAGCAAAAATCTCCAAGAAAAAGTTGTGGCGGTCATGCGATAAAACAGTTACAGAATATTAACTCGGACTTCACCGGCTGGTATCAGCGCATGGGGCGACAAAAAGGGTCAATCATGGAAATTAATCTCGACGTTCCTTCTCGATTAATCTCTTATGATTGACCCTTGTTGTCGCCCCATGTGCTGATACCAGCCGGTAAAGTCCTCGTTAATATTCTATAACTATTACATAAAACATGCAAGGGTGCTGCTATCAGTGGTACTGTGACAAGTCATGCTATTGTAATTAAATGCTATTCACTGGCCAGAGATAGGACATTTTTGGGGAAAACTGGAAAACTTGGGTTAATGCGTCCTGTCTACTTTGTGGTCAATAAAACATATTACTGGGAAATGCCTTTAACAAATCTTGATAATGTTAAAACGATCACCGGAATCTTTCCAAAGACAAAATGATCTTATTTAAAGTAATCACATGTCATATATAATTTTCAAATTTAACTTTTACAGGACCACCAACATAAATATGTTATTATGCTATTATTATGTTGTGGGTATTGACAGAATTTATCTTATTATTTAAGAAATAATATATCCCAAACAGTGATTTTATCGCTCAATAACATCACTGTTTGGAGTTCGGATGCGACGAATTATATCATGAGGGCGTGCCGTAGCCCGAGTGATATAATGATGCGCATCCGAACGACAAACAGTGATGTTATCAAGTGATAAAATCACTGATTTGGATATATTATTTCGATTCTAATACGACATCAACAAATAAATGTTGCTGTACCTGATATTAAGCACAATTGCGCCTGGTTTTGTTTCCGTATTTATTTTCAGCGCGTCACATTTTCAGTGGTTACGTCAACGTCACATATCTAAATATAGAACGTCAAACACTTTATAGCATAATGACACACACTTTCGGTTCTTCTATGTTCAATAGGGAAAAATACGGGTCCTGTTAGAATACATTATAATAACATTTAATAAAGTACCATCTTTTTTTTTAATTTTAGCTTCAGCTGAAAAAGCAATTACTCTGATGTGTATAACTGAACTATTAATTATTTTTATTTTAAGTTTGATAATATTTTTTTTTAAATAATTATTTTTGAAGTGTCTATTTTTTATAAGACTTCATGCATAAAATTACTAGTAAATCACCTACTTTGTTGACTGCTAAAAATGTGTATCAAGTTTAAATGTAACGATAAACGCTGGGTTACATTCTTTAGGTCACATGACTCCCTTTGTCGATACAGTGTATAGAATCACCTTTTGATGATCATCTTAATTAGACCTCACATTAAAGTTATTATATTTCTAACTGCCCTGTTTCACAAATTTACCTGCCTTTCACGTTCGATTTATTGTGTTTTATTAAATATAATGTTCATTTTAAGAAGGGATGTATTTATTCCGTGCTGTTTAATTTTTTCAATTAACACAACTCGTTATTCTGTATCTAGTAAGTTAATAACAGTCTGACTCGTTATTTCAGTTCAAAGGCACTGAACTTCTTACCAAAGAAAGATTTAGAAGCTCACATAAATGACGTAAAACAGTTACAAGTTCGTGATAATGACATATATTTGGCTACATTTATGAAAAGTGGTAAGTGTTGCAAATCATAGTCTGAACAGGTGTAGCAAAACACATTTTACTCGTTCTCCAGGATACGTGATTTTTTCCATAACAGGAGGTATATATTGCCACAAATAATAGTGTTGACTGTATTTAGTATCATATTTGACAATAAACCACGAAATAATTATAAATGTATGTTGTTGGCACGTGTGAGATACGTGATCCGATGTAAAATATCTATATATGTACATGTATAGCAGGAAATACATTGTTCTAGAATATAATATATTTATTCATCATACAAATTTTCACGCTTTATCACTTAGAACGCTAATAATATTTTTTGCTTGAAAATTTAAGTAAGATAACCCAAATGATATATCTCTAAGGTGGCACAGAGGTGACATGCACAACATGTTTTTATCATTGCATTGTACTCTTGTTTATCTGGTTCCAATGAAATACTATATATAACTTGGGAGAGGAGAGGGCAACAACTAAGTAGTGCTATAAAAATAATAAGAATCATTTTTATAAAATAGAATGATGCATGTTTGCTACGTCGTGGGTACAACTTACTAACTCTTGAGAATGAAATAGCTATTTCCTTTGAAAAAAATAATTAAAAAAAAAACATTCACCGATTTATAGATAATACTCGAATGAGAATGTCTCAGTTTCTTCATTCATTTCGAATAGTAGATTTCTATAAAATTTCAGTGTTTCGGTTGTCGTTTAAGTTAAGAAATTTTTTTTAGATGCCTAACATACAAACATCGAATGTATTTTAACACTCATAAC